TCAACCCCTTTATTTTTATAGAAAGGAAAGCAGGATAAGTGATTTACCTGCGATCATACAGATAGTTAGAGCCCAGAGCTCCCATCTCTTAACCTATTTTTTATTGCACAGATGTCATATAATTGCTTTTTTGCCCTAGGGTTATTTGTATCAGCTCTGGATCAGTACGTATTAATCTTTAGGAAAAAATACAAGCAAAAAACACTCTCCATGGGCCATTATCAAACTCAAACTATCTCTCTAGAAGAATGGTTCTGCTTGGTGATCTTTTTTTTTTTGAGCAAAGGGGGAAAATGATTCTAAAGTAAAAAATGAAATCCGGCCCCCACTGTGTCTTGTACTATAAAGCTAATATATCTCTCGAGGAATGACGACTATTTCACCGCTTGCATGCCCTGGGATTTCAACCTCTGTTGTCTGTTTTCACAGAACTATCTCAAATTTCATGTGACAGTTTAGAAAGTTTATTCTTTTTTTTTTTTTTTTTAAGATGACCGGTAAGGGGATCTCACCCCTTGGCTTGGTGTTGTCTGCACCACGCTCAGCCAGTGAGCAAACCGGCCATCCCTCTATAGGATCCGAACCCGTGGCCTTGGTGTTATCAGCACCGCACTCTACCGAGTGAGCCACGGGCCGGCCTACTTCAATAGTTTTTACTACATAGGGATCTGAACCAGTGGCCTTGGTGTTATCAGCACCACACTCTCCCAAGTGAGCCATGGGCCAACCCAGAAAGTTTATTCTTTACTGGCTAAGACATTACAGATTTTGGTTACCTCATTCCTTGTTCATTTATTAGTTTGTTCATTTGTTTGACAAATATCTATAAATGCCTACTATGTGCCAGGCACTATTTTAGGCACTGGGATACACTGGTGAATATAAAAAGGTCTCTTGCTTGTGGATTTGGGGGGTGGGGAATTCAGAAAATAAATAATCAAGTGAATGTATGGTATATCAGATGTTGACAAGTGCTATGGAGAAAATTAAAGGTAAAGGGAGTGCCGGGATTGCATGTGTATACATATGCTGTTTTTTTTAGGATAGCCAGGGCAAGTCTTAATAATAAGGTGACATTTTTTACAATTTTTTTTAATTGAAACATATTGATTGTACATATTTATGGGGTGCAAAGTTATATTTTAATACATGTATATAATGTGTAATGATCAAATCAGGGTAGTTAGCAAATTCATCATCTCAAAAATTTACCATTTCTTTGTGATGAGAACATTTGACCTCTCGCTAGCCATTTGAGAACATACAATAAATTATTGTTAGTTATAGGTGCCTAGCACTGCTGTACACCACTAGAACTTATTTTTCCTGTCTAGCTGTAATTTTATGTCCATTAACCAAGCTCTCACTGTTCTCCCATCCTCCCCTACGTCCCAGCCTCTAGTAAATAAGGTGACATTTGAGCAAAGACATGAAGCAAATGAGGGAGCAAACCCTGAAGGTATCTGAGGGAAAAGCACTGTAGGCAGAGAAAGCAGCAGGCATAAAGATCCTAAAATGAGTTTGTGTTTGGCACTTTTGAGTAATCTAGAACTGAGTGAGCAAGGGGGTGTGTGGGAGAGGAGATAAAGGCAGAGATGGAGTGAGAACAGATCATGCCCAATACCCACAACCAGCCCAGCGATGACCACTGAACAACCACTGGAAGCGCTCTGGTCTCCTGAGCTGGGGTGGTGGGGGGGCCGGGGGCTTCAGCCACAACCATCTAACATGTGCACCCAGCCCAGCAATGACCAAGCCACCGCTGGAAGGCCCCTGGTCTCTCCTGCAGGAATGAGGGGGGTGCTACAGGCCTCAACCATGCCCCTTCTCCTTCCTCCTTCTCTCACCCTATTTCCTTCCCCCTTCTCCTGTCCCCCTCACACCCAACTACTCCACAACATCTTAGAATGTAAAAAATATATATGTATTAATAAATAAACTTTAAAAAATTTTAGCTATTCTAATGGGCATGTATGGTTGTATGTTACGGTGATTTTAATTTGCATTTCTCTAATGATTAATGATGTTGAGCATCTTTTCATGTGCTTATTTGACATGTATATATTGTCTTAGGTGAAATGTCCATTCAAATCTTTTGCCCATTTTCTATGGGATTAGCTGTATTGAGTTTTTAAAGTTCTTTTTCTTTCTTTTCATTTATGATGTATGTGGTATGATCCTTCTTTAAAAAAGAAGTAAAAAAAACTTAGGAATCTAACCCATATGTGTACATTTAGACAGTTTGGTAGTCCATACATCAAAACTATTAATGATACTATTAAAGCCATAAGGCTTTGGTGGCACTTGTAAGAACTCTTTCACTCTGAGTGAGAAGGGTGGCTGTGAGTGACATGATCTTATTTTTTTTTTCTTTTTAAAAATTGAGGTAAAATTCACATAATATACCATCTCATTTTAACAATTTTAAAGTGTACAATTCTGTGGCTGTTAGTACTCTTCAGAATGTTGTGCAACCATCACCACTGTCTAATTTCAGAGCATTTTATCACCCCACAAAGAAACTCTGTACCCATTAAGCAGTCACTCCTCATTTCCCCCAGCCCCTAATCTGCTTTTTGTCTCTATGGATTTGCCTGTTTGGGACATTTCACGTAAATGGAGTCATACAAAATGTGTCTGTTTGTGTCTGGATTCTTTTACTTAGCATGATATTTTGAAAGTTCATGCATGTTGCAACATATGTCAGAACTTCATTTCCTTTTATAGATGAATAATATTTCATTGTATGAATATATAACATTTTGTTTATCCATTCATCCATTGATGGACATTTGGGTTGTTTCCACTTTTTTGGCTATTGGGAATAATGCTGCTATGAACATTCATGTAAAAGTTTATCTGTGGACATATGTTTTTTAATTCTCTCTATATACCTAGAAGTAGAATTGCTGGGTAATATGGTAATTCTGTCTGATTTATATATTTAAAGCTTATTTTGGCTGTTGTGTTGTGGATAGATTGTATGGGGACAAGAGAAGACGCAAGGAGATCAGTTAGGAGGCTATTGCAACCATTCAGGAGCTAGATGATGGTGGTTTGAACCAGAGTAATGGCAGTGGAGGAGATAGTACTGATCAGATTCTAGATATACACTGAAGATAGAGCCAAGGGATTTACTGACAGATTTGATTTGTATTGTGAGAGAAAGAAAGGAGTCAAGGATGATTCTTAAGACATTTGACCTGAGAAATGAAAGGAGGGAGTAGCCATTTGATGAAATTGAAGGAAGAGCAGGTTTGGGGGAGGATTAGGTCTTTGGTTCTGACTTACTGTGTTTGAGATATTCAAGTGGAAATGTTGTCTAGGCCATTGGAAAAACATGTCTGGAGTTTAAGTAAGAGATAAATTTGAGTTATTAGTTTATAGAGGATATTTAAAGCCATGAGACTAGATGAGATCATTTAGGATAATTCTAGATGGAGAAGAGAAGCAGCCCAAGGAAGAAGCCTGGACATAATCCAAAGATTGGAGGTCCGGGAGAGGAGGAGGGAGCAGCAAAGGAGGTTGAGAAGGAGCAACCAGTAAAGTCAGAAGAGGAAACTGGGAGAATGTGGTGTCCTTGGAGCCAAGGGAAGTTGCTTGAAATACTTGAGGAAAAATGAATTTTTTTTTTCCTGCTGCTTTCACTAATTCTTTGAGATAAGGGGCCCAGGAATGGTGTCTTCCCTTCAGAGATGACTGCCCTTTTGAATGCCTAGGGTTTTTCTTCATTAAAGTGATTAAGCTGAAAAAGAATTCTGGTCTTCTGAATACTGTCTTCAAGACAAATTGCTTATTTATGGATATACCTAAGCCCCACAGAGGGCATTTATCCAAAAATTCAGTCAATAAATATTTGAGTGTCTACTCTATCCTAATCTCTTTTCTAAGCTTTGGTAACACAGCAGTGAACAAGATATTTGGTTATTGATCTCATGGAGCTTAATCTAAGTCTGTTGCTTATAACAGAATACCTGAAACTGGGTAATTTATAAAGAAAAGAAATTTATTGCTTATAGTTTTGGAGGCTGGGAAGTTCAAGGTCAAGGGGGCACATTTGGCGAGAGTCTTCTTGTTAGTGGGGACTCTCTTCAGAGTCCTGAGGTGGCACAGAGTATCACATGATGAGAGGGGCAAGAGTGTCTGTTAACATGTTCACTTGCTCTCCTTATAAAGCCTCCAGTACCACTCCTGTCATAAACCCATTTATGGGTTTTTGTAACCCATTTATAAACCATCCATTAACCCAATAACCCAATAACCCATGAATGGATTAATCTATTCGTTAGGGCTTAGACCTCATGATCCAATCACCCCCCAAAGGCCCCACCTTTCAACACTGCCACTTTGGGAATCAAGCTCCCACATGAGCTTTGGAGGGAACAAACATTTAGACCATAACAGAGGAGAAAGACATTAAGTCATTTGCTTAAATTACTGAACAAATTAAATAATTTGTTTAAAAGCCATAAACAAATAATTACATATGTGATGACTGCTAGCAAAAAATCAGGGTGCTTTGTGAGCACATAGGAAAGTTACTAATCCAGACTTGGGGTGGGGGCATGGTCAGAGAGATCTGGAGGAATTGACATATAAGGAGAGACCCGAAGAAAGAGTAGATTTAGCCAGGTGAAGAAAAGCAGATGTTGTGAAAAGAACATCCCAGGCAGAGAAAAGAGGGAAGAGGGAGAGCTTTGGGATATTCAGGGGACTAAAAACCCCTTCATATCTCTAGAATGTAAAGTGTGAGGAGGAGTGGAGGGTGAAAAATGAGGCTGGAGAGGTGAGCAGGGGCCAAATCGTAAGGGTATTCTTGCCATGCAGAGGAGTTTGAACCCAATTCTAATAGCAAGGGGGAACCACTGAAGAGTTGGAACTTAATCTAATGGGCAATGTCTCAGTTCATTTTCTGTCTACCATTGTGAAAGGGTTGGAAGGAGGCTTGACTAGAGGCAGGAGAGCCTGCTTCCTTTATAGGCTCGTGGTTTTTATTCTAGTGTGCCATTTGAAGTGCCAAAGCTGAAAAGTGGCAAGAGTGCACTGGAGGCCGAGAGTGAGAGTCTGGATAGCTACACAGCTGACTCCGATAGCACCTCCAGGTGAGATTCCCCCATTTCCCTCACTTCCACTCAATGACAGAGTTCCCATTTTGTTCTTTAGCATGAAGGTGCAAGGCTCTTATGCCTTCAGTGTTCCTGATTTCTGCCCTCAGGAAGCTGAATGAAGTATTTTCCCTGACCTTGACAGAAGTCTTTCAGTAGCAGTTCTACTGATTTGGCTCTGAGTGCAGCTTCCCAGAGTGTGTTAACTTCTCCAGGCTGCCGCACCTTGGAGGATTCTTCCTAGCCCAGCAACAACTGATGCTTCTGTCCCTTAGGAATGCGGGTGTGGGCATGTGTGTTTGTGCAGAGTTGCTTTTCTTTTCTTTTTTTTTTTTTTAAAGATGACTGGTAAGGGGATCTTAACCCTTGGCTTGGTTTTGTCAGCACCACGCTTACCCAGTGAGCAAACTGGCCATCCCTATATGGGATCCGAACCTGGGGCCTTGGTGTTATCAGCACCACACTCCCCCGAGTAAGCCACGGGCCAGCCCACAGAGTTGCTTTTCTGATCTTCATTTTTTCAAGATAAATCATATGTGAAGTGTACCTTCTGGATTTGGTTACTATGAGACCCCAGGCTAGTGGCTCTGTTTTCATAGAGCTTTGGTCCTCAGGTAGAAGAGAAAGGGGAGGAAGTGATTTAATTATAACTTCTGAATCTACTTCCAGGAGAGACTCTCTGGATAAATCTGGCCTTTTTCCAGAATGGAAGAAGATGTCCGCCCCCAAATCTCAAGTACAAAAGGTAAGCTTCAGGTTATTGGTTTTTCCTTTCTTCCTTCCGTCTTCCCTCCCTCCCTCCTTTCCTTTTTCTCCTCACTTTCCCACTCCCCTCAGGCAGAATTTAAATCAGGAATTCAGCTAAACAAGCCAACTCCTTAGCATGGCAAGAAAATCATTATGATTTGGTCCCTCCTCACCTCTCCAGCCTCATCTTTTATCCTCCATTCCTCCTCACACTTTACATTCTAGAAAGATGAAGTTCTTCTGGTTGCCTGAATATCCCAAAGCTCTCCCGCTTTTCCTCTAACCACTTCTAGCCAATGTTTATAACACATGCCAGATTCACTTGGGAGCATTTTCTAAGGTTTTGGCTGAAATGTGTGAGAAAATAGGTTTTGTATTACTTCTAGGCATTTAATCTTTCCTGTAAGTTTGTTATAGTTTTATGAAAATCTGAGCCTTATTTTTCTTAAGGCTATCCTTTCTGACTCACTCCTTCCACCTTCCCAACTGTTCTTTTCCATTTCCCTGCCCTTATTCCTTCCTAGGAGACTCAGCCTGGGGATCAAAGTGTGGTATCTGTCGATGAGGGTGAAATGATATTCAAGAAGAACACCAGAAAAATTCTCAGGCCTTCAGGTAGCTGGTTTCTCTTCATGGCTTTTTGGGACTGAAGTTCTGAGTAGCCTTGATGGGCTCTTGGTATGGAAAAGAGCAGGTCTCTTTTGTTTGATCTGGGTTTTTGGTATTCCACTCAGAGTACACTAAATCCGTGATAGATCTTCGCCCGGAAGATGTGGGACATGAAAGTGGCTCCTTGGGAGACAGAAGCAAATCTGTCCCAGGCCTCAGTGTGGATATGGTAAGTGCCCTTGTTTTTCACTTGGTCACTATGTGAAATTTTATTTATCTCGAGTTGGCTTTAATACCTGATACTCTCAACCAACCTGTTTAATTCTTTAGAAAAAGGCAACACGAATCTTGATTCCCCCAAATTTCTAAAGCAAATCTGGTTTCTGATTTGCTTAAAGGAAAGTACTATCTTTACTGTCTCTTTTATCTTCTAATACATTGCTAAATATATAGCTGGGGGCTCAAAATGTAAAGATATAGCTGGGTTGGGGCAGTCAAATGGGAAGGAGTTATAGCTCCCATAAAAAATGTTAAATATTCTTATCTTATTCTTTTGAGATATGAGAAAGTTGGTCAGAATAGAGCTGGGAAGTATGAAACAGAGCAATATATAAGAATCAGGATATGTGTGTACATGTAGACATGACACCTCAGAGCTTTGCAACAATTATGGTTTCCACTAAAGGAAAGACATTAGTCTTTGAAACTTTTCTCATTTTTATTAACTCTGAATCTATATTTATTGTTCCAGGAAGAAGGAGAAGGAGGAGGAGAAGAAGAAGAAGAAGAGGAAGAAGAAGACATTGACCATCTGGTGAAGTTGCATCGTCAGAAGCTAGCCAGAAGCAGCATGCAAAGTGGCTCCTCCATGGTAAGTTCTATTAGTTCTGTGGTTATAGATACATTGAGGTACTAGGAAAGAAAGAAAGGCCTCCCTAGAACAGACTTGGGACCTGGGGAAATCATTGCAGTCACTCTTTTCAGGTAAGGGAGATGCATTTGTTTGTTCCTATCCTCAATGTAGACCATAGGTGCCACATGTAGACCATAGTGTACATCAAGGTGACTTCCTAAGCCTCTGCCCTGGAGATTATTACATTAGGTCATTACAGCTAGAGACATTGTTTATCACAGCTTTGTGAACAATAACCATAACTTCTTCCCTTAAGAGGTACTCAGGCCATGAAGTGAGCAAGATCAGATTTCTTCATCATAGCTTTCTCCAAATTCTTGCATTAAAGTGAAGGGAGTGTCATGAGAAGGGCTTGGGCAGGGTTAATCAGCCTCATGATATGGTTAAGGATCAACAGCACCAGTCAGGATCATGAAGTTGAAGGTACATTTAAAAAGCAAGGCCTAGTTCTGTCATAAGTATGAAGATTGATGTTTAGGGGAAACAGAGTCAGGAACACGGGTGATTAGAGTTTGTTCACACTGACTCACAGGAACAGAATGTCTGGCTCACACACACTGATTACTACCTGAGAGAAAGGTGACTTTTCACTTCTGGTAGTTTTTTCTCCTTACCCACCCACTCCCAGTTCTGGCCCAATCTCTTTTCACTGTAGATCTTGATAGAGATAAGGTAGATAAAAGAAATCCACAGATAATTAAGGCACTTTATTTTAACTAGTAGCTACCCCCTGCTAGCCAATGTTTAAGCATATATAACACATACCAAAAATGGACTTAGCTGCACCTTATGTCTACTTTTTGCCCACCTTGGGCAGATGAAAATTAACAATAAAATGTATAAAAAGAGGGGAAGAAGAGAAGTGAAGAGCCTAGGTGAGCCATGAGCTGATTTATTAACCTGAACAATCAGGTGTGCTGCTAGCTCTGTCTTATCCTTTGGGTAAAGGACTGTTGGCAGTACTGGCTCATTGCAGGGGCTTCTGAAACTTGTTTTGTTCAGTGACTATGGCTTTATTATGAAGGAAGATGTGAGCAATGTGGGCAGGGGAGTGTGTCTTCCCCATATATTTGTGGGTGCTTTCTCTTCAGAGTACGATTGGCAGCATGATGAGCATCTACAGTGAAGCTGGTGATTTTGGGAACATCTCTGTGACTGGCAGGATTGCCTTTTCTCTGAAGTATGAGCAGCAAACACAGACTTTGGTCATCCATGTGAAGGAGTGCCACCAGCTGGCCTATGCTGATGAAGCCAAGAAGCGCTCTAACCCGTGAGTGCTTCTGGAACCTGACTGAAGCTCGGAGATGAGGGACCAGACCCTGGCATGTGTCTGGGCACTCCTGAACCGAGCTTATCACTTCCTGGGAGGATGGAGAGGTGTAATGTAGGAAAGTGACCAGGGTTAGGAAAAAGCAGGAATGGCGTGTCTAAGAGGGCTTGGTGTGACGTTTTTGACATCGCATTTCATCATGGCATATTTATATGGAGAGCAGGGAAATGAAGAATGGGCTTGAGAAAGGACAGCAAATTACTCAGTATATACTCTCTTTGGTTTCTAGATATGTGAAAACTTATCTTCTGCCTGACAAGTCCCGCCAAGGAAAAAGAAAAACCAGCATCAAACGGGATACCATCAGTCCACTATATGATGAGATCCTCAGGGTAAGTATTTGCACCCTAAAGGTAGGAGAACATTTTCTGTCTTGTGCTCTAATCTGTAGCTATTCCTCTGCAACATGGCTGGTTGATATGGGTTTCAGTGGACCGTGTCTGTGTCTGAGGATACACTCTGGGCATCTGTTCACATCCTGACCTCCCAGAGAAGAGAACAAAGGTGACCTGGCTCTCTTGGATTGTTGTGAAGTTGGAGATTCACATGGCCACAAATCTCATTTTAAAAAGCCATCTGGGATAAGGAGTCTCCTTGGCAGTTCTTTTTAGATGTTCCAGTATTCTCTCACCCACTTATGGAAAAATTAATTTTCTAGGTCCTCCTATGGAATATGGTAGGTTTTCATGAAATGGAGTAAATTGAGGCTTTGAGTGAGGAAACTCAAAGTACTTAGGGACTAAAGTAATTTGAGATTCAGGACTTATAGACTTTGGGTACGGTTGCTCAGGTTTGGGAATAATCTTTTCTGAGAAATTACCACTGACTAATATCTTAGACTTCTGCTTTCCCCTCACAGTATGAGATCCCAGAATCTCTCCTGGCCCAGAGGATCTTGCAGTTCTCGGTTTGGCATCATGGTCGTTTTGGCAGAAACACTTTCCTTGGAGAGGCAGAGGTCCAAATGGATTCCTGGAAGCTTGATAAGAAACTGGATCATTGCCTCCCTTTGCATGGAAAGGTACTCTGCTTTAACTCCTTTCGCACCTTGGGTCAGAGGTAGAATTATCTGCAGTGGCCTCTGCTGGTCTGTGTTAGTAGTGTCCTTGAATGTAGTCTTCTGAAGAGTTCTAGCACACCCTGCTGGGGTTTCTGAGTTTGACAGCAATTTCAGAGGCACTTGTACGTCGTGTGATCAATCTCTTCCGTGTAAGCCAGGCAAAGTATGAAGCCATGGTTTTGCTTCAAAAAGTCTTTCGTATGTGTGCCAAGCTTGGCCTCCTAAACTTCCAAAGTCTCCAAGCTAACCTGGGTGTACCCTAATCTGCACCCCTTTTCCAAGCTAACCTTTTCACTAAAGAAGTGGGAAGGAAAGCAATTCATGGAGCTCCAGTTGCTGTAATCTTGGTTACACAGGCTAGGGAAAATTTAACTTTGGAGTTGGCACCTCAAATGAGAGTATAGCCGTGTGACATAATTGTGCCTGGGATCTGAGTGCAGACCTGGATTGGAATCCTGGTTCTGTCACTTGCCAGCTAGGTGAGTCACCTAACCTATAAAATAACTTAGGGAAGTCACCAAACTTCTGTGAGCCTCAGTTTCTTCATATAAAATGGAGATAATAATATCCCTCTTTTTCAGGATTATATACAAAATACCATTTAGTGCCTGGCACATAGTGGACATTCAATAGGCTGTCATTCTGGTTAAAATGAAATTGCTAAAACAGAGGACTTAGTCAGCAACTTCTTGATTATCAGAACTATACGATGACAAAGTTCTTCTTTAAAAACGTTTACATTAGCATTTTAAATATGGTGCATAGAATATCTTTGGAAAGATAGAAAAGAAATTAGTAATGGTGGCTGCCTCTAGGAAGGGAGACTGAGGTGGAAGGGAGATTTAGTTTTCTCTATATGCCCTTTTTAACATTTGAAGTTTTTACCATGTAAAGAAAATTAAGTATAAAAGGATTTATATGCATGTGGTTCAGAATTAAAACAACATAAAGTGTATAAAAGAAAAGTAGGTTCCATTCCTTAGAAATAACCATTGTTAACAATTATTTGGGTATCCTAGAAATTTTGTGTTAAGCAGCACAGATATACATCTACGGATCTATATATATTTTTTATTTTTTACACAAATCGGCTCACATGAACCTCGTTGCTTATGTACAAGGGTACTTCAAGAAGTTCATGGAAAGATTCATATTATCTTTCAATTTCATTTTTCCATGAACTTCTTGAAGTACCCTCATTTATCTTGATTTTTTTCGTTTTCCTGTTTATCAGGGACATCCTTCTGTGCCATCACTTACAGACCTGTATCATTTTAATTGCTGCATAGTTTTCCTTCACATGCCTGTATTATAATTTATTTACCATTCCCCCACTAATGGGCATTAAAATTGTTTACATTTTTGTTGTTGTTGTTGTTCTTACAACTATGCTGTAATATATCTTGGCTTTCTTTTTTGAATGTAACTGTCAGAGAAATTCCTGGTGGTGGAATTGCTGAGTCAAAGGAAATGTACATCCAATATTTTGATAGCTACTGCCCATCCCCCCCCAAATAGTGACAATATTAAATTTGTCCCTTTGAATACTAATAAAAGCAGGAAGGCAATTATTACCAAACTATAACATGTTATTAGAAATTTAGAATTTATTAAGCATTTGGCCCTCAAGTCATTCTCTCAGAGGTCTACAGTTGATATAATTATATTGGATTTGTTGCTGTAAACCATTGTGAACTACTGCCAATAAAAATGTCTTAGATAAACAATAAATTACATTAAAATGGAGGTATTTGCTCTTTGCAAATATTTTGAGCCAGAATGAAAATGTACTATTGAAACAAATTGCCATTTTTTAGCTAATGCTAAACTTCCATTTTTAAGAGTCCACTGAAGTTCACAATCTAGAAGTTAATAAATTGTGTAAATATTTTATAACCAAAAAAAAAAAAAAATAGACCACTCCCATATTATATGTCTATTTTAACTTAACACATCCTACATGTGTTGTTTCTGGGTTTTTTCTGTTGTTGTTGCTGTTGTTTTGGTTTGGTTTTTGCCCTATTAATCCATTTGCTCCCATTCAATTTTCCCTTGCTGGCATTCACCTCCTGATTCATTATATCTCTCCCATTTATTAAACTTTGTGTATTCTGGATACGTGGTACATCGATCCAAATGGTACATTGATCTAAACCTATGGGGATTATGCCTTCCTAGAATCTGTAGTATCAGTGATGAAGACCTCAGTTAGGGGCGCCCCAATGAACACAGGCAAGTGAAAGGCCCCGTCTAGTCTACACCAGCTCCTGCTCTGGATACCAAAGTACAAAGAACAGAGTCATGCAAGGAGAGTCAATAGAGTGAAGCAGTTCTTCCACCCAAAGCCAAAGATGATAGACCACTTGCCGCTCATTCCAGACATTTATTTATTCACTCTTACATTCATTCAGTAAATATTTGTGGAGCACTTACTATGTGCCAGGTACATACTAGGATGAATAAAAGTGAGCTTGATTCCTGTCCCTCTGGCACTTAAATTCTAGTGGTAGAGATATACGTTAATTAATAATAGCATAAATAAGTGTAAAATAAAAAATTATGGCATATTCAAATCTGTGTAACGGAGTTCCACCTAGCCCACAGATCTTTGCAAGCCCTCTTTCAAAACACTTTTTATCTTTAAAAATCATGCAAGTGATACATGCCATTCTCATAAAAAGAGGCTATTGATGTTAATAAGGAGTAAAAAGGGAAAGCCCTCTTTTCCCATTTTGCTCCCTTCCCTAGAGGAAACAAGTGTTAAGTTTGTCTGTATCTTTCTGGGTTTGTCTGTGCAGTGTAGTATAGTGGTTAAAATCATGAACTCTGGAACCAGTCTATGTGAATTTCAGTCCTGGCTCTGCCAATTACTGTGTGACCTTGGGTAAGTTTCTTAACCTCTCTGTTCTATAACCTGTAAATTGAGCATAATAGTACCTATCTCATAGGGACTATCTTGAGGATTAAACAAAATGATATACTTTTTTTTTTTTTTTTAAAAAGATGACCAGTAAGGGGATCTTAACCCTTAGCTTGGTGTTGTCAGCACCACGCTCAGCCAGTGAGCTAAGTGGCCATCCCTATATAGAATCTGAACCTGTGCCCTTGGTGTTATCAGCACTGCACTCTCCCGAGTGAGCCACGGGCTGGCCCTCAAAATGATATACTTAAAGTACTTGTGACAGTGCCCGGAACATAGTAAATGCTATATAAGTGATAATACTCATTATTTACACACATATATATTCATATGTACAAATACGAATATATTTTAATATAAGCGGGATATATTTTCCTGCATCTTGCTTTGTTGACTTAACAGTACATCTCAGATATCGTTCCATGTCAGCATGTACAGATTCACTGCATTCTTTTTGATGACTGCATGCCATTTGCCATATGAGGACATTAAAAATTACTCATTTAACCCTTCCTATATTGATTGACATTTAGGTTGTTTCCATTTTTTGGCTATTACTAACAATGCTGGTAGCAAGATTCTTCATCATGGTGTCAGTCCTTTGTGAGTTTGTGTGACAACCTTGCTGGAAGACCTTTGAGAGTATCTGGAATCTAGTAACTGTATCCCCAAAGTGGCATAATAGTGGGTACTGCAGAAGACTCTTGGTTTTTCTGCATCTCCTTCTGAAGGAACTGCCTTAGAAACCTGTGACTGCCATAGCCTAGGGACTCTGGATTGTATTCATAAGGAGAAAGATCCTCTTATGCCTTGAAGCTGTTCTTGGGAATATTGGTAGAATCCCCACCCCCACACCTCCACCCCATCCCCAGGGAGAGTTCCCAGCAATTCCTGAGAAGCCCAGCTTGACCTGTTGGGTTTCCCTGTGTTTCAGATCAGTGCTGAGTCCCTGACTGGCTTGCCGTCACACAAAGGCGAGTTGGTGGTTTCATTGAAATACATCCCAGCCTCCAAACTCCCTGTTGGAGGTGACCGGAAAAAGAGTGAGTTTTATTTGGGGCCCTGGATTTAGCTCTTAGTCATCTGCACAGGATTTGTGCAGGGCTTGTGCTGGCTACTGGCTAGCACCATTGGAGAGACCAGATTGAGATTCTCCCTGCATCTTCTAAAAAAGATTCCTTATTAAGTAAGCCTTTTCTGCATTTTTGAACCAGAACAGAATGCTGTAGGGTTGGCATTCCTTTTTTTTTTTAAAACTGACTTGGTCTTGGTCCAGTTCTGTGGCAAGCTACTAAGAGGGCAGAAGAGAACGGAAACTTTGAGGCTGAGAAGGGTGGTTAGAAGGCTTGGTAAAGTATGAGGGGCAGGAAGTTGAAGGCTGAGGAAGAGTAATTCAACATGCTAGGCACTGTGCTAGTGACTGTGGATATGTAGATGGATAAGACATGATATTTTCCCTCCCTTGAGGAGGTTAGTTTATCAAGAAAGACAATCATGTGCTAAGGGGACAAAGATATGGGAGTGATGAATTCTGTCTGGTTACATTTGGGAGAGCTTTGAAAAGAAAGTAATGTTGAAAGTGGACCTTAAGACTTTACTAGGTAGAAAAAGAGAAGGATGGCAGAGAGGAGCATTTCCAGAAGAGGGGGTAGCCTGATCAGTGCTCTGAAGTGAGGATGGGATCAAGTGGAGGACTTCCCTCTTTTTTAACCATTCAACAAATGTCAGGCGACTTTATTTTCTAAGCCTCAATGTTCTCAACCATAAAATAAGGACAATAATAGTGTATATCTTGTAGGGTTGTTTTGAGAACAAAATGTTGAATGTAGTATTTGGCACATGGCCAGTTTTCAATAAGCATTCATTACTGTTGTGGTTGTTATTAATTGAGCACCTATTGCTTACCGTCAGGCACTATGCTTGGTACTGAGGATACAAGTCAGGCATGGTTCAGTTGTTATGGAGCTTCCTGTCTTCAGGAGCAAGGAATGAAAGTGCTATGTAGACAAAGCTCAAGATAAATCTGGAGGTATAGGGGCTCACTTGCTATGGCTGACATCCCTTACAGGTAAAGGTGGGGAAGGGGGAGAGCTCCAGGTGTGGATCAAAGAAGCCAAGAACCTGACGGCTGCCAAATCAGGAGGGACTTCAGACAGCTTTGTCAAGGGGTGAGTCCCCGGATCAGCACCAAACTAACCAGTTTTAGGACAGGAGAGCTAAGAGAGGAACCCAATTTAACCTTTCTCTGTGGATTTTATCCTTGCGTGTCCTATCATCCACAGCAACCACCTTTTTCTTGAAATTAGGTAATGGCAAAACCTCCACCACCATCTTTTCTCTGCTCTGAGCTCAGTTTGGACTGGGCTGTAGTGTTGATATTTAAAGAGAAGGGTGGTAGACAGATAGATTCTGACTTTTCTCTGACTCATACTCAATTAATCCTAGGTGAAAATCTGTGTTCCTTGACCATCTAAATTGTTCCCCACGATTTTGAAGCAATGCCAGCTTCCTCCAAGTTATAGATCACCCATTGACTTAAGTTCTTTAGCAACTCATCTTTGGCTAAGCCTATAGATGTTACTATTGGTTTTATTTAAAGAGAACCTTGCCTAATAGAAATGGAACCAAATATTTAAAACCAATTTTGGGTGGAGCATAGACAATAGTCTTTCTAATAATATTATATTCATTTTCTCTCCAGGTTAAAGGAATTGAATCAGGTGAATGATCTAGTGGAGTAGTAGGAACTCTGCTTCAGCAGATTCGAAAGAGGGGTGTGTGCACTAGGACCTGGGTGTCAACTCACCTTCTTGGGCTAGGCCTGTGGTAGGGGAAAGGGAGCATTTAGACAGATATTGCCAGCTTTGAGTACACTGGTGATTACTCCCCACCCTCTGCCAGATACCTCCTTCCCATGAGGAACAAGGCCAGTAAGCGTAAAACTCCTGTGATGAAGAAGACCCTGAATCCCCACTACAACCATACATTTGTCTACCATGGTGTGAGGCTGGAAGATCTACAACACATGTGCCTGGAGCTGACTGTGTGGGACCGGGAGCCCCTGGCCAGCAATGACTTCCTGGGAGGGGTCAGGCTGGGTGTTGGCACTGGTGAGAACCTTTCTCCCATCCTCACTTGTCTTAAAGGCTTCTTGTCTATTTCACTCTCAGTACCCCGTCCCCAAAGCTTTTCTATGACAAGAGTTGTCTTCTTTCTTTTCAGTGAACATTCAACAAATACTTATTGAGTACCTACTATGTGCCAGGCCTAGGGGAAGGCTGACCTCATGCACTATTATGTGTACAGATAAATGTGACTCTGAATGCCAGGAACTCCATCATTTTCCTCAAAAAAAAATAAAATAAAATAAAAATCTATAAACCTACACACACACACACACACACACACACACACAAACACACACAATTTCTCTCTTTCATCCTGTTATGATGAAAGAAAGGCCCTTGCTAGTAAAGGCAAAGCTCTCCCCAGGTGTTCTGGACCATCTCTTCCTCTTCTCAGTGACCTCACTTCTGTAATTTCCATTTCTACTGTATGTTCATTTTTGTTCTCCCTGACTACCAGAGGTGAATACAGATGTGCTCTGGTATTTCCAATCTTATTAAACAAAAATAAATCTTCCCTTGACCACACATCCTCTCTAATTTCCTAAAAAGAATGGTCTCCACTTCCTCACCTTTCCTTTAGTTCTCAATCTACTGTGATCTGGTTTCTGTCCCACCACTCCACTGAGCAATTGCTCATGCCAAAGTGGTGTTCTCGTCTTACTAGAATTTTCAGCACTGTTTAACATAGTGAATTACTCTCCTTTTCTTGAAATTCTTATTTTCTATTGACAACATAGTCTGGTTCCCTTTTAACTCACTGTTCACCCCTTCTCAATTTTCTTTGTGGGTTCCTCATTTTCTACCCAAACTCTAAATGTTGGTGCTTCTCAGGGCTTAGTCTTGGCTCCTCTTCTTTGCTCTCTCCACAGTCTCTGCATTCCCATGGCCTTAAATACTACATGTATATTAATAACATACAAAGCATCTAGAGTGATGTTTTGACTCACGTAAGCCAGTTTGTCATTTTCCAGCTTCAAACCCTTCAGTGGCTTCCTATTGAACTTACAAAACAATCCAAAGTTCTTACCATGCTTATAGGCCCCTAAATAATCTGATCCTCTGCTGTTTTCCAATCCATCCTGTATCACTCTCCCATCTGCTCACTATGCTCCAACTGTGATGACTTTCTTTTTGCTCTCCAAATATACCCAGCTCATTCCCACTTTAGAACCTTTTCAGTCATTGTTCTCTCTGTATGGAAAGGCTGGCTCCTTTCCACCCTTGAGGTCTTCACTCAAATGTCTCCTCAGAGAGTCCCTCAGACCACTCCATCTAGAGTGGGTCCTGACCCAGGCACTACAAATCACCCTGTTTATTTACTTCACGACATTGATGTTACTATCTGACATTCTCTTGTTGGTTTGCTTGTATATTTTCTCTCTCTCTCTCTCTCTTTTTTTTTTTGGTGGCAGCTGGCTGGTAGGGGATCCGAACCCTTGACCTTGGTGTTATAACACCATGCTCTAACGAACTGAGCTAACCAGACAGCCCCTGTGTATATATTTTCTATCTTCCCTATTTGAATGTAAGCTGCCTGAGGGCAGGGACTTTTTCTGTTTTGTTCACCACTGTATCTCCAGAGCCTAGAAGGGTGCCTGGCACATAGTAGGCACTCAAAAAATATTTGTTGAATTAATGAATGAATGTATAAAAGAATAGGAATGAAGCCACATACAATCCTAAATTTGGACCTAGAGTCTATCGCTAGAGAAAAAGGTGTTCAGTTTTTCTTAAAAGTTTTAAGTCAAGTTGGCAATAACAGAAGGGCAGTAGTTCTGGCATGAGATATCAGACACTAGAGCTTTGTAACAGCCTCAGAATGACAGGTGTCTGGTGACTGTGTGCTCTCTGAAGTCCCATTTCATCAACCTGAAGTCTCTTGATAGAGTCTCAGGAGCATAGAAATATCTGTGCAGGATCAATGGGGAGCACCTCCCAGATTGCTGTCCCCATCAGCCCTTCTTTGTGGCACACTGTCTTTAATGGGGTGGCTACCCTTGCTATATGACCCATCTTCCCCAGTGGGCTGAGGAGTGGGCCCTTCTTCAGCCTCCTCTGGTGTTTCTCCTCAGGGATCAGTAATGGGGAAGTGGTGGACTGGATGGACTCGTCTGGGGAAGAAGTGAGCCTATGGCAGAAGATGCGACAGTATCCGGGGTCTTGGGCAGAAGGGACCCTGCAGCTCCGTTCCTCAATGGCCAAGCAGAAGCTGGGTTTATGAGTTGCTGTCCTCCTCTGCAGGGGCAGCCCTGGCCAGGGCAAGTCAGAGGAAGTGAAGAAACCAAGAGCAAAGATTTATAATTTAATGTGTGTGTGTTGTGTATGTGTGTGTACAAACATGTATTTCTGCAAATCTCTTTATGTTAGCTAGAGTGATGCAGACTTGTTCCCATTTTTAAAGCGGGCTTAAGAATAAGGGTTGCTTCAATATGTTTTTATTTGTGCATAATCTAATATATTTTCAGAGTCCATTCTTTCTTATATGTTTATGAGATTAAATTAACTTAAAAAAATCTTTTAAAACAACTTTTTATCTTCTGTCTTGCTATCCCTGTTCCTACTTCCCCAGGAGGCCCTAGCTACCTTTGGCATTAGTACCAGTCGATGATTTGAGGTGTGCCTGATTGGAGGCCAAGGCTCTGGGAAGCAGGGTTGGGTTACTAAAGAAAGGGGAATATGAGGGAGATGTGATTAGGTCCTCTCCTTTCTCTCTGATTTATGCTCTTAACTCATTTTCTACCTTAATAAATTTCTGGAATTTGGCTTTTAACTTTCGTTGACTTTAAACAGTTTCCACCTTGCTTGGGTCTAATGGTTTTCTTTGAAATGCTAAGAAAATTCCCAGTTCCTTCCAGTTCTAGACACCTTTACTAGACCTTTGGGGGACCCTTATAATGGAGCCGCTTTAGAAAGCACTTTAGACAATAGCCTTTTGACTGAGTCATGAACATGCCCAACGAGAGCATCTAGCTGATCCCAGAGGACCTGAGTGACTGAGGGTAAGGTGTCTTACAGCCCATGCTGAATTCTGTGCATTTTAAACTGGCACAGCAATTGTTGGAGAGAGTACTCCTCATTTCTCTAATAAAAGATGAGACATATTCACTCTCATGTAGCACATCTTTCTTAGTGTACCTGTCTGGAGTGTCTTACCACACAGAATATGGCCCAGATGCCACTATGTCAGCCAGAAGAGCCAAGAATTATCTAAACTGGCCCAGTGTTTCTCCAGGCTGGGACAGTTAGTGCTCTGCAAGAATGTGGACAGAGAACCTCCCAGTTATTTTGACTTCCTACCTGATGTGGCTTTGGTTTTTGTTTTTCCTGTTGTTTCCTAAACTTGGCCTACATGTAACATGGGTGTGGTGTGTCGAGGCTTTTCAATAAAGGGTCTGGTGAGCTAAGTTTCATTTTCTGTTACTCACTTCCAAACTGAACTTTTTATTTTTACAAGTGTGTGTGGAAGGAGTGTATACCAGAGAAGAAATCCCTTTCAATAATCAGCTGCTAGCTGACTTTCCTATAAGGCCACTGCATAGAAAGCACCTATGTTGGTTTCTATTGTATGTGTGAACCGAATGGAGGAATTTTTAAAAGATTTATTTGGTGTGGATTGATATTGTAATGGAAGGCATAACTTGGGATCCTGGGCTATAACTTGCTCTTTTGTTTTCTACCCTCTGACATGTATATGTGCTTCAATAAAGCTTTCTCACTTGTCACATGTTTGCATTTGTTAGTTCTTTAGATGCTTTTGTCTCTGATGTCCTGATTTACTGTTGTTGCTTTACATATGGCTTGAAGGGTAAGAAACAAAGTGATAAATGCCCTTCCCTAGCCATCTTGTGCTGGTTTGAAGAAAATGTGCCTTTCCCCACACTGCTGCCTGATCCTTTTGCTGAGCTCTGATCCCTTGTTCTTTGTGTTCAGTATCTAAAGAGAGAACTGAGACTCCGTCTTAAAAGTGTCTCCACTTTTCTGCCTTTCAAGCAACAAGGGAGCTCCTCCTTTAGCTTTCTAGACCCTCCCATGCTGGTGGAAGGAGAGATATTCACACAGGAGGTGAGGGAAGACATTCCCTGCTTTCTGGATCCTTCAATTTCTCGGGGGGTGGGGGGTGGGGTGGGGACTTTTTCTTTCACTCCTACTACCATTATTTAGTTTTGAGAGATAACACAGATGCTAAGTAACCCATCTCAGAAATAAGGCTCTGGTTTCTAGGCAGAGCCCAAGCAATTCTTGACCTCTTGTTCAAAAAGGGCATCAATATATATTGAATGCCTTTTGTGTACAGTGCTTTATATATTATTTTTAAAATTTCCTACTTCATAAGGTGGTTGGAGAAATCTTCCCTTTTCACAGATGAGGAAACTCAAGCCCACTGTCATGTAACAGAGTTGGGATTTGAATCAAGGTCTGACTCTACTGCACTGTGCTGCTTCCTGTGAGAAAGATATGTGTTATGGGCAAAGAGTCAAAGGAAGAGGTGACTCATCTCTTCTAAAATATCTTAAACAAATAAGTTTAATTTACAAAGTTGGACAATTAGAATACTTTGGCTATTACCTAGGCAGCTTAGTGACTGTATAGCTTGTGTGTGTGTGTATGAGAGTGAGAGTGAGAGCGAGAGAGAGAGGGGAGAGGGGCGGAGAGAAGTGGGCAGAGAAAAACAGATGGTTGGAGTCAGGCCAGCCCCTTTGGGTCTGGCTGTGGACCTGATTCTGCTGCTGTCTCTTTCCCCTACTTTAGGAGTTGAGATGTCTTGAGTCTTAATTTACAAAGGACTACAAAGGAGGTTATAGTAAAACTTTACCTAAAGAAAACAAGATTGACTTGCCTTGACTACTCATAATGAAACAAAAGGAGCATTGATATGGAAGAGTCAGGCCCAGGTGGGAACTTTGTTTGGGAGGTAGTGGGCCTCCTCTGTGTTATCGTTTGGGCCTTTGCCCTGCTAGCATGTGCTGGCTTGCCATTTGAAGTGTTAGTGATAAAGACAAGGAAGGGCATTCACCTTGCCTGATGTGCAATCATTGCCTTTGGAACCACAGACCTCATCTGACCAGAGATTTCCCACATGAACTCATTGTGTTTTGCCTTCTGCCCATAACTTGCCTCCTGCCTCTCATAGCTCCTGTATTTCCCTGGAGGGAGGAGAGAGAAGGGACCTTTTTGCTCCAATTTTGATCATTCCCCCATGTCCCATTCTACCTAGCAGCTGCCTTTTTATTTTGCATTTTCAAAATGAGATTTCCACTGAAACCCTAGTGGAAACAGCTTCTCTGTGACTCACTGCTACTCCCATATGTTCTGGGCTCATGATTAATGTCCCATCACTCTGCTTTAAAGAGTGAATTTTCTTGGGTTGAGAGCCTTTCATTTCCCTTTCTCCTCCTGGGCCCACTCTTAGTCTTGTGTCTGAATAGTATTATAGAAGATGGAATTGTTCTCCTTGCTTGGAGCTTTCAGCTATCTTTAAGTGGAAATTAGAAAAAGAAGTAGAGACAGTATGGCATAATGTCTAAGGACATTGACTCTGGAGCCAGGATGCTGGTATTTAAATCCTGACTCTGCCGTTTACTAGCTGTCTGATCTTAGGCAAATTGCCTAACCTCATTGCTGTGGGTCAAATGTGTCACCCCAAAGTTCGTGTCTTGGAAAGTTAATCCCCACTGTAACAGTGTTAACAAGGTGGGAAATTCAATTATGATATTTGAAAGGTGCGGCCTTTGAGAGGTGATTGTGAGGACTGTCCCCTTGTGAATGGATTGATCCATTCATGGAGTAATGAGTTGATGGTTTAATGGGTGGTCATGGGCATGGCTCTGATGTCTTTAAAAGGAGAGCAAGTGAGCAGGTTAGCTCTTTTGCTGAGCCCATTCTCACCATGTGACACCCTGGTTGCCATGGGACCCCACAGAGAGTTCCCATCCAGAAGAAGGTCCTTGACAGATGTATCCCCTGGACCATGGACTTCCAGCCTCCAAATTTTAAGAAATAAATTTCATTTCTTTATAAATTACCCAGTTTCAGGTATTCTGTTCTAAGCAACAGAAATGGACTAATATACTTGCTGAGCCTCAATTTCTTCCTCTGTAAAATGGGGCTACTAACAGTACCTATCTTGTAGGATTTTTTTGAAGACTCAGAGTCAATTGATAGAGTGCTTAGAACAGCACCTGGCACACAGTGTTCTTCCCACCCAGACTGACTCCTTCTCCCCTTGAGTTTTCCACTGGTGAACCCCCGGTTAAGCTGAAGGAAAAAGGCTGCTGAATCTTAACATGACTCTGGGTTCTATGAGTTTATGAAAGAAGGTTCTCAGCAGCAAGGAGGAGAACACTTTCAAACAGTGGCGCACCATTGGGTGGGACTGAAGTCAGAGCAGGATCTGTGTGCGGCTCCATTTCACAATAGCCCTGCCTCAAATTTACTTTCAGGCTTGGTACTTAAGGCTTGACTTTGTGCTGCTATAGCTCCCACCTGGTCTGTGCTATCTCTTAAAAGTGGTAGCTGAAGAAGTTAATATGTGAGGCTGAGTCTGTTTTTCTTTTCTTTCCCCACTACCTGCAGTGGTGATTTACTAGATTACAGGCTGGGGGCTCCTCTGGGGAAGGGAAAGCATTCTCTGCTATGGGAACCAGAGGCCTCAGTAAGAAGAGGTTCTTGCCCCTGAGCCAGTTGGAGGGGCTAAGCTCTCTCAAGCTCCCTCCCATTACAGCATTTTCCTAACTCTTGGATGAAGCAATAGTTCATATAATATTTGTAGTCCAATGCTCTAGATGGAGAAATGACAAGCAGGTTCAAGAATGTTTAGTAGCACGCCTCTCCCCCTATCCCTGCCCTCCATGATATAGTTAACCTGTAAGGAAAATCCAGCTACACTTGTTTAAAGTGTCCTGGTTGTGTGTTGTGATGGTGCTGCCCTCTGCTGTCACCTCAGGGTAGAGGAACCATTTAAAACACAGCCGGTTAGTGAACAAATTTAGGATTTACTTGTCTGAAAGACTTTGGAGAGCTGGGCAGAGGCCCAGGTTAGGAAAGAAAGACCTATCCCCAACCCATTGCCCAGGGCCTTCCCTCAGTTCCTACCTAGCTTCTTATGCTCCTCTAGTGCCACCTGAAGTAGAGACTTGCTTAGGGAAACTATTGCACGCCCTAAAAAGATGCCTGGAAGTGTCCCAGGACTGGTGAAACTCACCCACTTCGGTGTCCTGTCCCTAGAACTGTGAGAAACCACTTCCTCCTTTTATTAGGTCCCAGTTTCAGCTAACTAGGGGAGCTTTTCCCTTGACCTCAACCATGCCCTGGCTCAAGTTCACTCGCATACGTCCCTTTGCTCCCGGCGCTGGATCAGCTCCTGGTTGCTCAGTAGGTAGTCATCAATGAACGTGAAGATTTCCTCAGGGGTGACAGGTTCCATGTAGCGTTCCCGGTCGATGCCCTGCTTGTCAATCAACACCATGTTGAAGTAGGAGCGAGTGAGGCGCTGAAATTGCCTAGAGAGAGCAGCCCAGGGAAGTGTGAGACCTTGTCTAAGCATCCGTCCTGCAGGGCCCTACTACCCTCTGATCTTTCACAGCTCCACTGATGAACTGATTCCTTCTCCACCCCAGTCCCCATCCCCTCCACTACCTATCTCAGGCTCCTTTGCTATTCCCTGTTCAGACCCTAGACTGGCAGCCCCTACACATCTAGGTCTGCTAAACTGTCCCTCCCTCACCCCAGCTGGGGCAGCTTTGTTATTACCAGGCTGCGTTTCGGTTGTGGGCCCCTTTAAGTAGGGCTATGACATATCGCTATGCAGGCTGCACGAATGACTCCAGGGGCACCCATCACAGACACTATGATGTGTACGCACATCACGCATGGCAGCCCTGAGGCTGATAAATACCAGCTAGTTAACTCTTCTACCTGAAGCCACAAGTCTCCTGTCTCCTTCCTCTGAGCGTTTCCTAGTCTCTCCTCTAACTGGGACTGAATCCTTCTGTTCCCACTGAGACTGAGCCCTAGACCCAGGTATCATTTCCAGAACAGAGAACAGTGATGGTTTTATTGGCCCTGAGTATATGTGGAGGCATTGAAAGGATGATGATGAATAGATAATGAGAAAAGTCAAGTTGTACCACCTGTAACCTACAGCCTTCCCTGGGGGAACCCAGGGGCTGATGGATATAATTCAGATTGCAGTGCCTAAAGATGCCTTTTGCTTTTTTGGAGACTAAAGGCAAACAGATGAGGCCAGGAGGCAACAGGAACAGAGGCTTATCTGAGTCAAGTTTGGGTCTGTCTCAGCCCTGGCTGTGCTTCAGAGTCATCTGAGGTGACTATATAAAAGCATGTTCCTGAGGGAGTTTAGGGTAGGGCTTTGTAATCTGTATTTTAACAGCCCCCCCCCCGCATTTGTTTCTGATGTCCTGCCAGAGTTAAGAACCACTCTCTGGTCTTACCTAATGCATAAGAGTTCAAACACAAGAAGTGCCCCAAGAGAGTAGTGTCTGCTGGTTCTCCCATAACCCCCCTGTTCCCAGTGTCCTGCCTAGGGTTTCTGCCCACTCCTGCCCCGCAGCCTCCCAGCCCGGACCTGAGCTCCTCAATGATGTTGGCTGACAACTGGTGCTCCCGGATGCGCCCCACCTCCTGAGGTGGCTGCCCTACCAGCTCGATGATGGTCACATGCCGCAGGTCTAGTCCACAGGTGGATTGCTGGGAGGGGGAGA